CTATCCTGTATGCTATAGAGAGAAGGGCTATATCAGCCAGGTCAAAGTTAGCTATGATAACACACCCCAGATGAAGCATGGCTCAAATCCAGTATAAGCTGATTTCTTTCTCAGGTGAAATGTGAAAGGGACGTTTCTGGTCCCAGAGTGGCTCTCTTCTTTTTTTTTTTTTTTGAGTTGGAGTCTCACTCTGTCGCCCAGACTGGAGTGCAGTGGCCGCTCCCGGCCACCGCAGCCTCAACCTGCTGGGCTCAGGCGATCCTTCCGCCTCAGCCTTCCAAGTAGCTGGAGATACAGGCACGCGCTAACATGCCCGGCTAATTTTTTGATTTATTGTAGAGATGAGGGCTCACCAAGTTGCCCAGGCGGGTCTCGAACCCGCGGGCTCAGGCAATCCACTCACCTCAGCCTCCCAAGGCGCAGGATTACAGGCTGAGCCACCAAGCCCGGCTAGTGGTTCTCTTCTAGTTAGCAATTCTAGAACCCAAACTCCTTTCACATGGTTAGCCCCATCTCACCTGGAATAAAATCTCACCTGAAATATTTTCAACTTTTGGTCTTTAACCTGCAAATCCAGATGAATCCTGGAGTTATACATGATTGGTTTTGTTTTAGACATGAAAAAGTAGCAAGATTACTCAGGATAGGTTTGAAATTGACCTTGTGTCATCTGTTCCTCTATCTCAGTAACAGATTCCACTGGGTCTCAGAAATAGAGACTCCTAGCCTCACACATATCCAAGCCAGAGGTAAGTAACAGATCTTTTTACTAAAATGTTTTCTTTGACAGTAACATCTCTGGAACATGGCTTTCAAGGTTGCTGTGCTGAGCTGGTTGCCTTGAGTCAGTGGAAGAGGAAAGAGCATGTGGGAAGTATACCTGAGATGGGCAGGAAATGGCAGATGTCACCTTTGCTCATGCTCCTTGAGCTAGGACTAACCGTGTCACATGGACATACCTGGCTGCAAAGGAAGCTGGGAAATGCAGTCTAGCTGTGTGTCCAGAAAGAAGAGGGCTGAGGTTTCTGAGGTTTCATGACACCCAACTAGTCTCTGCCACAGGAACAAAGTAGAAATGAAGGACTTGGCCTGCATTCTCTTGGAGCTGATCATTCTGTTGGGAAAATAGAATCTACACCAAGGAACAATTCAGCAAGGGTGTACTTTGGATAAAGGGGTAAGATGAGGGGCAATATAATCCCTCAGGGCGGGAAATTCACTGTGAGTTAAAGAGGACAGCTGACCTTACAGGGAGGCTTTTCGTGTAGTCCTGAATACTGGATATGTTCTCGGGGCAGGAGCATGGAGAGCATGCCATGGAAAGATGGGCGAAAGTTCATTTCAGACAAAAGAGGGGCGCATTCCCTCTCTCATGAAGCCAGTCTGACAGGGAGCGTTAGACTACCATCATCAAAGGAAGCATTTGAGTGAAAAGGTATTTTACTTACCTCTGGTTTGGAAATAAATGTGTGAGGCTAGGAGTCTCTATTTCTGAGACCCAGTGGAATCTCAGTTACTGAGATAGAGTAACAGATGACACAAGGTCAGTTTCAAACCTATCCTGAGTAATCTTGCTACTTTTCATGTCTAAAACAAAACCAATCATGTATAACTCCAGGATTCATCTGGATTTGCAGGTTAAAGATTGGAAGTTGAAAATATTTCAGGTGAGATTTTACTCAGTTGAACACTTATAGTAAATACAAACTATAGATAGATATGTGATGGAGAATAGGTCCTCTAAATAAGCAGGGGGACTTCTTTTAAGGAGTTTTGACATTATTGTGTCAGTTGCACTCTTACCAACAATGACTTTAATTGAATTTCCCATATGTACATTCTACCTGCTTTTCACCTGAATTAAGCACAGGTAATATCACAATACCTGTTTGAAAAGTGATGTTGTGTGTATATACCTGCATATATACATACAACTGCACATATATGTCTGGGAGAATGTATTTATTTGTTTGTTTATTTATTTATTTTTTTGAGTTGGAGTCTATTTATTTATTTATTTTTTTGAGTTGGAGTCTCACTCTGTCACCCAGACTGGAGTGTAGTGGCCTCTCCCGGCCACCGCAGCTCAACTGCTGGGTTTCCAGTGATCCCTCCCGCCTCAGCCTTCCAAGTAGCTGGAATTACAGGCATGCGCTACCAAGCCCGGCTGATTTTTTGGTTTATTGTAGAGGTGAGGTCTCACTGCCCAGGCGGGTCTCGAACCCACGGGCTCAGGCAATCCACTCACCTCAGCCTCCCAAAGACACAGGATTACAGGCTGAGCCACCGAGCCCAGCTGAGAATGTATTTATTATATGCATATAGGTACAAAAGTTTAAGAAGTGTAACCTCTATGGGCTTATGAACTTTTGTGGTTATTTAAAGCAAGTTGTGTGAAAAGAAGATATTTACTTACCATTTCCTTGCCTCCAGCTTTAACACAGAAGTAGATTTTATTATGCTTGAGGTGATAGATAACTCAGTTACCCTGATTTAATCATTATACGTTATATGCTTTTATGTACATAATGTGTATCCTATAAATATATACAACTATTATATGTGTCTGTATAATTAAACATTTAAAAAAATTTTAAGTGGATTTTGTTTTCTTCTAAGTCAGTTTCTATTTGCTTTACATATATAAAAACTATAATAACAAATAATTCATTTGTGCATTATTATTTAAGAAATCACCTACCACCAACTATCAGTTGTGACAACAAATTGGTATAAGCCTGTGTAGATTTCAGCAGATTATCTTATTTGTTGTACCTTCTTACTGTGACAATGCCTCTCTCTACCTGTGATAGTAGATTAAGTAGCCACTTCTGTATTGCTCTAACAAGTAAGAAATTTGAGACACAGAGGTTCAATAACAGTCCTGAGAGCCTTACAACCTTTGCCTTACACAGGGCTGGAACTCACGTATCCAGACCCTTGTCCCAAGACTTCTCCCCTCTCCCACCCAGACCTTGCCTATTTCAATGGAAGGAACTAATCCGTTTGGATAAAAACCACTGAAACATCACTTAGGAGGGTAGCGTTTCCATGCACATATTCATGCAGTAAGCGAAAGGGTGACATCATATATCTAAGAAGAAGAAGTGAAGTCCAATCTTGAACTGAATGAGAAGTCAGATAGCTAATCTATAGAGGACGCTTTCCCAAAATCACATGGTATACCACTCAAAATCATTTCTTTTGTTGAATGTCATTTCCCATAACATCTTGTCCAGTTTGCATATTGATAAATACATTCTGGTTTCTCACAATGTTATAATTCTCTTGGCATTCTCTCAATCTTTAAAACCTATAGATGGATAGGGAAAGTATGAAGACATCTTTTTGTTTGTAGATTATAACAATCATTGATTGGATACTTAGTATGATACATTTTGCAGGTCCTGAGGATTAATAGATGAGAGAAAGTCTATCTTTGCCTCCAGGAAACTCAGGTTCCAAAGGGAACTTGAGATAAAGATAATAAAAACTGTTCAGAAACAATGTCATGGTTCAGGTTGCCTATTGAGGTCTTAAGTTCTATTGAAGAAATTTGAATTTTCAAAGCAACAGGCAATCGTTTTAAGATTTATTCCCTTTTCCATGAAAGGACCTCCACAGACACATGGATTAAGGGGAACAAGGGCAGAGGTATGAGGCAAGTCATGAATCGAAGGTCCACTGATAAGGAGAACTGGTCTACCCACAACAGAAATATACCTTTACCCCTGGAGAAGGATGGAGCCAGACCCACCCACCCAATGCCCATCCTTCAGTAGATGATGAATAAATGTTCATTAAATAACCAAGTACACAGGGCTCTCACAGAAATTCAGCCCAAAGAGAGTCAAATGGGGAACAGAATGCATGTGACTCGTTTTAGTGGCGTTTATGGTCCCTGCTGGCAACATGGTAGATCCGCCGGGACACAGTGACCTGCAGAACAACCCTTGTACTCTGAGGTGATCCTAACATCACTCAGTGACAGAAACACTAAGGCCTTTCTCAGATCAGCTTCAGTACATAGCAGGGCTTCTCTAGGGAAGAAAAGGAGTAGGAAAACTTTTCAGAGGTGAGAGAGGCATGCTTAGCCTCATTATTTACTTATGCAATTACACGATTTATGTCTGAAGTCACAAAAGTTGTAACCAAGACAAACCAGGCAATAAGTGTTGTTTGTAAAATGTCATCAGCCTAGCAGAAACATTAGACATAAATCATGAGTTTTATTGTATTTGCAATTAAACAGATCAAATTTAATGTCCACAGAAAAGCCTTAGTAATTAGTACAAAGATTAATTTAGTGAAATGTCTGTGGTTTAGCAGGCCTCCTAAGCAAAACTGAAATAAAGAATTTGGTATATAATTGAATAGCACGTGAATATTAATGCACAAAATCCTCCAAGTCCCCAGATCCCTGATGCAATTATTTTCTATTCACATTAATTGTTCCTAACAGATGACATTAATGACTTTGAGTTAAAATGTGTCCAAGGGAAGATTTCACAAGATCAATGCTGTTTAGAAATAAGGTCACTTTTATAATTATCTGCTCAGATTTTAACCACTGCTCAACATAATAAGGTTAACTTGGTGATTGGCTTTTTAATGTGAATATCAAAAGTTAATTTTTGTACTAGGCAATAAGTATATTGGGGTATTCACATTTTTCCTGCTACTTATTTTTTGACTACTCCTTATTTTTTCCTACTAATTTTCCAAGGCAGACTGTCAAATTATGACTGTTATTTATAAAATGTAAGTATATACACAAATATGCATATATATATATATATATACACACACACACACACACACACACACACACACACACACACACATTTGGAACACTGATAAACTAGAATAAACTTTTGACTTAGAGCATATATTATCTACTCTAGAGATGTCAGGTCTTAGAGATTTAGCTTTCCAAGGCAGGATTCTTAAACAAACAATTAAATTATCACTATTCAATGTTTCTGCTTGGTTTTACCTAGAAACTTCACTCGCGCATCTTGGGTCTTTCATCTGGAGATTTGCTTTCAGAGGTAGAAAGAAGCCGAAGTCTGACGCAGTCACGGACTGATGTTGAGCTGCACGTGAGTCCCAGTTGCCTTCAGAACACTTGTTTAGGTTGTTATTTTCCTTCCATCACATATGATGTCACAAGTGAACCGTAAAGTGCATCCTTGAAGCATTGTCAGGCAGATAAAAATACCTTCCTTTCTTGTATTCTCTGAAATTCAATATCATGTCCCCAAGCTGATATAGTAAGCTGCAAGTGTCATTCTCGGCAAAAATACCATAAATCTTGGCTTTGTCCCCAAGATACCTTTTTGGATATTGATTACATCTCAAAGTTTCTGAGAAATGGTCAAGGAGCTTTTTATTAAAGCCCACGTCCCATATTATTCATTCTACTTTTATGATATATTATGTATGAACTTTTAAAAATTCATGGGCTCTGCATTTTTTTTCTTTAGCTGAGGTTAGCTTTGTGCTTATTTGGCAAAACTTTAACCAGCATGGCTTTTAACTCTCATTAACCTGGAAGAACACAACAGCCAAATAAAAATATAATGAAAAATGCTAGGCTTAAAAAATGACCTGATTTGTGGGTAATTGTTTATTTTATTTTATTTTACTGTATAACTTTGTCAATGTAGATAGGATAGCAAAGGTAAATATTATCAAGTTAAACTTGAATTAAACTTCAGTGAAATGTTGTCACTTTAAACATTCATAAAGATCTAAGGGCATCCAATCTATAAAATAGCCTTAAGGTCAGGAATTTTTTTAAGCGTAGAGTTTTTATTTTTAAATGTGCAGAATGAAACTATTGGCTTCATCCTCTGTCTTCCTCTCTATTTTTTTTTAACAAAAATTGTAGATTCTATATTGCATTTCTCATAGAAAAGATGTTAAAGTGTATGAATCATTCAGGATGGTTGTCTAACATAAAAAATTAGAAAAATACACTAGATAGTACAGATAGGATGTATTTTGCCAATTGAATAAACGGAATTATGATAATCTTGCAATGGAAGCCAATGCATCTTTTGACATAGAAGAATTTTAAGAACAATCACACTGTTTCACAAACAGTGAATGAAAGATTGCTCAGTGGGGCTCATGGTGCTCTGGGTGTCTTTGTGAGTTCTGCTCATCGTTAGGGTTCTTATTTGGCACAATAGCATCATGCATGACTAGGACTTGGACTTGGCATTAGAATGTCATCTTGGCCAAGTGACCTTGGGGTAAGATATTAAAATTTCAATGCCTCGGTTTTCCCATTTGGAAAATAAGGACAATGATATTTCTTATCAATTTTAGAGAGTTGTGGTGAGGATTAAGTGAGATAATGACATAAAATGTGTGTAACACAGTGCCTGCTAATGATATTGAGACAATAATAAGATCTCTGTTGCCTTGGCCCTCTTCTATTTTTCTTTAATATGTGGCGCCATGCCACAGCCACAGCATGGCAAAGGTATAGATATGATAACTGAGAAAGTTATTTACGAAAATGTCTCTGCAGAAGCTTAACATCAGCAATCACTAGAACCAAAGGGCGCCCACTTTGGTCTGTTGCCCAATGCAGTTATTTTACCACTGTTGTGCAAGGCATCAGATAATGATGAGGAATCAAGAAATGTAAAACGGAGTCCCTCAGGGAGACTATGAACTGATGGCTTAGTTGAAGAGCCAAAACACATTACCATATTCTAGGGCTGTTCAGCCTTTACCATGATTTTATGTAATAGGTCATTTGATTATTTATAAGGAAAGAAACTCAGGCATAGAGGGGTTAAGTAATTTTCCCAAGTTCAAAGAGCTAGACGGTGAGACGTAGAATTTAAGCTTCATAAATGGCCTTGGAGTTCAAGGGCTCAACTATAGAACAGTTATTCACTGGAGGTAGATAATCCTACATGATAATCACATGCTGGTGAAAGAAAATGCAGGAAAAAGGAGCTCATTTGCAGCCATGTTGTCAGGAATTCTAGATACCTTATTAAATTCAAACATTGATTTTTTCTAAGGTAGGAGAAGGGGGAGAATTTCCAGTAGGGAGGAGTGGTCCCTTCCTCTTTGCAAGGAGTAACTCTGTTACCACCCCCTACACATACATGCACATCCTTCCTAGCCTGTGAGTGGGCTCAGGTGTTCCCTTTTTTTGGTGCAGCACGGTTCAGGTCAGAATAAGATGCCACAACATGCTGCCAAGAAATCCACACCAGACACAGACTTCTCTAATAGCTTCTCCTAGAGACTGGCTGTGCAAAGCATGGGTCATAGCATAGCACCACCGAAGCTCCTGGGAACTTGTTAAAAACACTACATACTTCTCAGGTCCTACTTCAGAATTACTGAATCAGAATCTGCATTTTAACGTGATTCATGTTCACGTTAAAGTGTGAAAAGTCTGTCTCAGAGGACACCTCTCTGCTTAACCGCCCCTGCCCCCGCCTGCCTCCACATAACATTGACAGCCTTTTCTACATCCCCGAAGTATCCTTCATCACATCTGGGTGTCTCAAGTTCAAGGGCAAAGGAGAAGCAGTGATTCCTTCTTGCTGTAGCCTGTCTTGTGAGGTCTAGTTTTCTGTCATCTGAATCCAACCTCTAACGCAGGAGGTGCACACATGGGCGATGATTGGGCAAAGGTGCTTATTCACTAGGAGAGACCTGGGAATTTAGTTGACTTGTAAAAATAGGTATAATTTTGATAGATGAAGAGGGAAGGGATAGGTGGGAAGGGCAGAGGGAATCACATCTAAGCCTTAAGATTTTGGGGGGAAGGTTAGAATTTAAAATGTAACCAGAAGCCAAACAGTATGTGAAAAGGCCATTGGAGGAGTTTAGACTTGAACAGCCTGGCAAGACACAGACACACTCTCTCTTTGGAGAGTAGACACATCTATCAGAGTAGAGGCAGTGTTAGACAGCCACCGCCATCCTGCATACTTCAGCAACAAAATATGAGAGAAAGAGATGGAGAAAGTGGAACACACATAACAGAAGAAAAACCTAATGCAGAACTTCTGAAAGTTTGTTCAGGGCACATTCTAGCTGTCAGCAGTGGCTGAGGCCAAATGGCAGGGACTTCTGTGTGACACAACCATTGGTTGTAGGCATCTTCTGAGATAAAAATATGAACTCCCTTAACTAAGTTATGTCCAGCAATAAACAAGGTTATAAATCAATAGGTATTGTTGCAAGCTGGATTTTAAGACAAGTTTCTCCTTTCAGTGATATTTAGAGCCAAATTTTTGAGGGGGAAATAGGGTAGTAAAATTTCTTGGCATTTTTAGATCACTTAAAGAGATTGTTATGCAGCAAAATGAAGTATTGATAGCAAGGCAGAGGCCTAATACTGAAAATCTGACATTATTAGGCATTATGGATATTGATTAGAGAGTAAATTGGACCTGTCCTACCTACCTCTATAGAGGTTTAATATTTACTACAAGTACTGTGGGACCATCATTACCTTCCTTCCCCATGCTGGCATTTAGTCACCGTCAGTTGGAATTGCATTTGGAGAGCAGTGATAAGTACTCAGGTACTAAAGGCACCCATAAAGTGTCAATAAATTGCATAAGTAAGAGGCTTTGCAACTCTGTAAGTGACACAAAGACAGATGGCTCCCCATCAAAGAGTTTCTGAGACAAAGCTTTATATAAATAGGAGACCGGAATTAGACAGTAATAGAGAGATTCTATTCTCAGTGGTCCAGATGCTAAATTAATTTAGCCTGTCCAGTTTGTGGAGCTTCATCTGTTATATGAGGGACCTATAATGTGGCTGTCACTATGTGCTTGGATGTTTGCAACTTTGTCACTGTTGCCTTTTGCATAACTGCTAGAATTCTAACAGCCTAGACCTTCCACTTGGGACCCAGATCTCTTTGATGTGATAGTTATTACCATTTGTACAGCCAAATGGTAATAAGGACAGGATATGAAAAGTCCCGTTAGCTTTTGCAGTGGAGGCTCATGATATCTGAGTTTGGTGTCTGCTGTGCTTGGCTGCCTGTCAGGTGGCACAGATATGCTATGGGCGTTTGCTGACTTAGAATGATGCCATCAGAGCCAGAGGGAAGTAATCGTAGCTGTAATCTGGTAGAGCTGCCCCAATCTACTAAAGAGGACATTAAGACCCATGAAAGTCAAATGTTTAGTGGCAGCATATGGCCTGAGATCCCGACCACTAGAATCATAGTCTAGTGCATACTCTTGAACTCTGTGAGCCAAAGATGCTACTCTTTCTTCTTCTTCCTTGTGTAGCACTAGAATCATGTTTTGATATTGATTTGACATGGGTCCTTTACCTAATAATAATGGTAGCTTGTAATAATTGAGCACTGGCTATAAACCAGATCCTGTGATATGCTTCACAGCTAGAACCTCATGTAGTCCTTGCAGGAACCCTGTATGGTAGGCCATATTATCATTTTTCTCTTTAGAAAGGAAAATGTGGCTGTAAGAGAGTAAATCATTTCCTCTTATTTTAGGCACATAGTAAGAGGCAGAGCCAAGATTTGAGCCTATGGCCAGTCTGACTCAGTTCGGAGTTTCTAACTATTATATTGTTCTCTACAGGCAATCCCCAACTTAACAATGAGTCGATATGGTTTTTTCAGTTTTATGATGGTACAAAAGTGATATGCCTTCAGTAGAAATCGTACTTCAAGTACCTGTACAACCATTCTGGTTTTCACTTTCAGCACAGTATTCAATAAATTACATGAGATGCTCAACAACTTATTATAAAATGGGTTTTGCATTAGATGACCTTGTCCAACTGTAGGCTAATGTATGTGTCCTGAGCACATTTTAGGCAAGTTAGGCCAAGCTATGATGTTTGGTAGACTAAGGGTATTATTAAATGCATTTTCAACTTACGATATTTTCAAGTTACCATGGGTTTACTGGACATGACCCTACCATAAGTCAAGGAGCATCTATGTTCCCTCCTACCTCACTAAGATGTTCAGTTGATATTTACTCTCTCCTAAGTGAAGGCTTTACTCAGAGCTGTCCTGCTTTTCAGGAACACCAACTGAATACAAAATCAGGAGCCCCGGCCTTGAAATGCCCTGGCTTGGGGATTATCGTCCCTAGTCATCTCTGTCCTCGAAACAGCTGCAGCAGCAGCAGCGAACTGTCCCTTTCAAGTACCTGCAGCGAGTACTCCAGCGGCTCCTCCTATACATGGCATGATGGGAAGAACCTCAGGAAAAGGGTAAGGCCTCCTTTCAAGGCACTTTGGCATCAGAGTGAAACGGAAAGGAATCCTCTTCTGGTAGGCTTTGATCACAAAGGTGGAGGCTGGATCAGACAGGTAAGAAGGAAATGACCATTTGCTGAGTACCTGCTCGTGAATTGAATTGACTTTTCCTAATCAATGCTGTGGCCTCATAAAACACTATTTGACTGTAAATTGGAAGGCAGCATAATAGAGACTGAAAATCCCATGGTAGATGACAGGAACCACGACTTCTGTGAAGAAAGGCATATTCCTACTTATATGCCAAGAGTTCCTTGACCAGGTTTTTAAATAATTGCTACTGCTAGAATGACTCCCATCTGAAAAGTGGGCTCATGCAGTTGAATATTCCTTCATGCTTTGAACAAACTTTTTGCACACGGGTATAGAGCAAGTATGTGTAAAATGACTTTTTTCGTGGTTCCCTAATGTTGAAGAAAAGCAAAAGGTGCATGAGCATGGAAATCTTGAAACAGAATATTTGGAGGTAATTTTTCCAACATTTGTATAAATTTAGTTTATGGTTTCAGTAGTGCAGAAACCAGGAAAAAAAATCCATACCTCCCAGAAAATATTAGTGAGGGAGTAGCTTTGTCATCCTCTGAACAAGAACTCAGAAGATTTCAAGCCTGCATTTAGAGCTATTCCCTTGGACTGAGACTTCTAATGCAAAGTACAGAGTCTGCCACATTATCAAAATTGCTCCCTCTAAGGAGTTGTTCAGAGCTCTGAATAATGACTGCTCAGGGCCCAGCTCGGAACAGGCTGGGAGGACGGTCAGGGATGCATCCTCGCTTTGTCTGTGAATATTGCTAGCTCCCAGTGCCCCAGCTCTACTCTTTTTGTGCTCATACCTCTTTCTCTTGCTCCCTCTCAGAGCCTTTTCACTTTCTTTTTTCTTTGTCTTTTTAAAATTAGTTTTGGCTGGAATTCTTCCAATTAGAGCAGTCCTTGATGTTCTAAGGCAAATTCTCCCGTGAAAGAGGAGAAGCAAGGTACTTAAGACACTCCATGGGCACTCATGTGGCCATCCTCTGAATCCTTAATAGGATCCTGTTATGGTCATGGAGCATCTATACGCTTGTCTCATCTCACACTGAACAATCTTGAGTCTCAGGGACCCAGTAAGCTAGACCCAGTCTCGTCAAGACAATTTAAATTTTTATTACTTAAGAACTTCTTCAGTTCTTACCTTGTGCCTGGTACTCATTTAGTATTAACTTGCATAATAAACTCATACCATTTGAATTTGAGTGTGAATACTATATTAAGTTAAATAATAAATGCATGACTGATGGCTCTTTTTGAGCTCACAAGTATTTTTTAAAATATTGTTTTGTGTAGAAACAGAAAGGAAGCCCACATGAAATGCACTTGTCTGCCCTGTGTGGAGGACTTTGACTCTGACTGACAAAGAATTACCATGTGCAGCACAGTTTTTTAAGCACTTCACAAGTAGTAGCTTATGTAATACAGTAACCTGTTTAGTAGGTTCTCCTAATCGCCCCATTTTACAGATATGGAATGGAGGCGCTGAAAAGTTAAGTAACTGGCTCAAGATCTCATAGCCAGCATGTGGCAGAGACAGGTAGTTGGTTCCAGAGCCTTCACTCTCACTTATTCTGTTACACCAGCCTTACTGAGTCAGCCTGAAACATGGCGGTGTCATTCCATGTTGAGACTGATTTGTTCCCATTAAGACTAAGGACATTATTTTTAAACAAATTGTAAGACTGTTGTCCAGTCAAGACATAGCAGGGGACTGTAAACATTAAACACAGACCCCTACCTCATCACCAGCATCTTTTAGCCAACTACACTGCTCCCCTAGAGCAACTTTCTTCCAACTTTCCCAGCAAAGAATAAAGCCACCTGTGAGAAGTGCCAGCTCCTCCCCACCCTCTGTCCCACAGGGGATTTATACTTTTCTTTGTTCCCCCCAAGTTTCAAGATTGGTTCAAACCTTTCTCAAGTTATTGAATGCCATAGCTTTCTGTGGAAGACTGATGGAGGAATGTGACTGATCTCACCAGGTAGAGAGTCTGGACCCTGGGAGGCTTGTAGCTGTTCTGGGGTGAGTCCTACTGCACAACACAGAGGGCTCTGGAGAGGTAGAAAGAAGGCAGGGTTGAGCGTGTCTTCTTGGGGTCGACCAAATCTGCCTTTTTTTCAAGTTCTTATGGAGTACTTTGGCATGGCTTCTATTCTTTATTGTCAACGTGACTACCAGGATCTTGAAAATTCTTAGAAACTCAAACAGTGACAACTGCTTTCTGGTCGGTCTGCAATACCCAGATTTCCTGATGGGATCGCTTCCTATTTCCAAAGGAGTTTTTAATGGTGTGAGGGAGGAGGAGGGAGAAGGGACAGCATCATCAAATAGCATCTGTCACCAGCAACTTCTGCCCTTGGAGAATTTTGAAAGAAAACACATAATTTGATTTAAAAACAAATAAACGTGTGTGTTGTTGATAACAAGAATAATTTTCATGAAAATGCCTTAGATGTAAGCACAACTGAATAAAAAGATTCCAGTGGAAATTTCTGATGCTTTTTAACCTCTGCCTATGAGCAGGTGTCGTGTGTTCAGAGTTGTGGCCAGGGGTAGTGACTGGTATAGCCAAGATTGGTATACAGAGTATACTTCTGAAATCACCAGATTCTTTCATTGGAGTTCTTCCCCATTAATCATATAACCTTTTTAAGAAGTCACTACATCAGCCCCCTAAACTCTGCGGGTTCCATTCAAGAAATGATCTGAGGATAACCTGTGATCTCCATTATGACACTAACTAAAATAGAGGGAAGACAGGAGGCTGAGCTTGACTTTAGTAATAGAGCACAGAGATTAGGGGCATAGGCTCCAGAACCAGACTGCTGGGGCTCACTGCTTCTCCTCTTGAACAAAGTCAACAGCAGCAGTGTCGTAGAAAGAACCTGAGAAATCAGAGTTCAAACCTTTGCTCCAGTTCTTCCTAACTGTGTGACCTCCAACAGACCAATCGGTGAATCTGTGTTCTGTTCTGAAGATGAAGTTAGAGCACTGTGTAAGTGGCTGGTATACAGCAGGTGCTCAGTAAATGTTAGTTCTCTCTTTTCTTCACCCTTCAGTTTCTTGTTCGCAATTCTATGAAAAAATATGAATGTGTAGAATGCAGTCTTTTTTCTGTATTGTTCTATGTTGTCTCCTGTGTACTTTTCCAAAGCCAAGGCTGGCATCTGGGGAGGGGTGAGGGGCATGAAATGGACCCTGCTAAGTTAGTAGCTGAATCATTACTCTAAGGTTCTAAAAGCAAATGCCCAGCTGTTGTATGTGTGTATGTTTGTATATAGTAACTTCAGAAAATGTTCATTGCCCACCAAACAAAGTCAGAAAGTCACAAAACTATCAAATGTTAGAGCAAAGACATGGACCAACTTTTTTTTTCTTTTTTTTTTTGAGTCAGAGTCTCACTCTGTCATCCAGACTAGAGTGCAGTGGCACCTTCATGGCCACCACAGCCTCGACCTGCTAGGCTCAGGTGATCCTTCTGCCTTAGCCTTCTACATAGCTGGAACTATAGGCACACGTCACCATGCCTGGCTAATTTTTTTTTTAATTGTAGAGCTGAGGTCTCACCAAGTTGCCCAGGCTGATCTCGAACCCATGGACTGAGGCAATCCTCTCACCTCAACCTCCCCAAGTGCTGGGATTCTAGGTGTGGGCCACTGCACCTGGCCCCTGATGGACCAACTTTCTTTACAGCTTTACGTTACCCACCTCTCATAGACACTCTACAATAAAGGCCATACTGGCATCTGGTCATTCCCTGAGTGTGCCATGGACATATTTCCTGACTTAGATCTTTACCCATCCCATTTCTTCTCCTGGAAGTCATTTCCCCCACTTTTGACTTAAGGCAAACCTATCCATCTTTCAAGAGCTAGATGAATCTGAAAACAACAACAAACACCAAATACCTTTCCTATACCCCTTTAATGATTTTTTGAAACAGACCTGTGGACTCCTCTTCTGAGTCTCTAAAGTACTCACTACACTGGCACTTCTCCTTTGCTGCCTTGACATGCAGTTAGTTGTGGCCAAGTCTCCTCTCCCCTGCTGGGATTTTGGTTCCTTGAAGGCAGGGTCTTTGCCTCCTACTTCTTTATATCATTGTGCTACTTAGCACAGGATGTGGCAAAATCAATATTTGCTGCATAGTTAGTGAATAAATTAATTAGCTAATTAATGTAGGCATTTGTATGTGAATACTTATCAGCCACTGGCACAAATTAAGTCCCATGTTGGACTTTTCCTTTTATATATTTGTGATCTGTGTGGTTCAATTGTTTCTGATATCTACTTTTCTTTCATAGCAGTCATCACAAAACTGGGATAAAAGGCTAAGTATTGATTCCTCGCTCCCAAGTGGCTTTGCCAGTCCTACAGATGAACTACCTCCCACTCGTATCAAGGAAAGCCACATCTTGGAAGGGCTAAGAAAGCTGCAGAAGCGAAAAGTGTTACTTGAACCTCCATCAGTCATAACCAAATGGGGCTATAAAGATTGCATGAACTCAAATGAAGGAATATATTCTCCAGGCATTAAGAGTAGCAGCCTCAAGGACTCTCGGTCCTGCAAACCAACGGATCTGGGGAGTCCCCGCAAGGAGTCCCACAAGACATTTGTTTATGACACAGATTCCCATGACGACGCAGATGATGACTCTTCTTCCTTAGCATTGCTCCAAGTAGCTGCAAACCAGGGCTGCAGGTCACGTGGTAGCAAATTAACCCACAGTGTTTCTGACAGTCTATTTGGCTGGGAGCTGAATAGAAATCACTTTTTAGAAGGCACGTCCTCAGTTTATCCCAGGGAAAGGCCTGAAAAACTGACAAGTTGTGCCAGCAGTTGTCCCTTGGAGAGAAAGCTGTGCCCAAGCGTGCAGACACCTCAGGTGCTGAGGGAGAGGGTCCCACACAGCCAAGGCCATGGCCATGTGGCTCTCAGCCTCCAGCTTTCGGACACCGATGACAATGAAACCCTCGACGAATTGCACATAGAGAGCGGTGATGAGAAAAGTCCTTCAGACTTGTCGTTGACTGCTGACACTGATAAGTCAGTGGAGAATCTGGACATCCTCATGGGATTTGGAAAATCTCAACTTCGGTCTCCTGATGAGGAGGAAAAGCAAGTGCCCATCCACTTGGAGACTAGGCCAAAGACATTTAATTTCATTAAGCAGCAAAGGGTTGTAAAAAGGACTTCTTCAGAAGAATGTATTACTGTAATATTTGATGCTGAAGATGGCGAGCCCATTGAATTCAGCTCTCACCAGACTGGAGTTGTCACTGTTACCAGAAATGAAATTTCTGTCAATTCTGCCCCTCCTGGACCCAAGGCAGAACACACTGAACTTTTACCTCAGGGAATTGCTTATTTACAGCCAGGAGCTGCTGCAAAAGACTGTACTTTCTTAAAACGATCTGAAGAGGAAACTGAGAAAAACATTCCAAAAGATAATGTAGATAATGTTCCCATGGCACCTGCTGAATCTTTCAGCCCCAGGACAGTGACACAAAACACTCAACCACAAAAGTTGCTCAAACCAACACACGGTATGTCATGCCAGAGTAATTCCAGGTCTTTGGCACCCATGGGCATCTATCAAAAGCAAAGTCTGACAAAAATACCTGCCAAGGGCAAGTCTTCACCTCAGAAATCAAAACTAATGGAGCCTGAAGTCTCGACACTAGTCCCCTCATATGGCCCGATGGCTCTTGAAAAATCACCGGCCTTAGCTCCTGGGAAACTCTCACGGTTCACCAAGACTGAGAACCCAGGGCCCCTTTTCGAATTACGACCAGATTCACACATTCCAAAACATCCCACCCAACTTCCTCAAGGCTCCAAAATGTCCGGCAGGAGGGATTGGGTCCAGTGCTCCAAGAGTCAGACTCCAGGAACACAGTCAAAGCCCCTCATTGAGCCCAGTGACAGTGGAGAGCCCCCCACAAGGGATGAGGACTGTGACTCTGGGCTGGAGACAGGGATGAAATCCCCTTCTCCCCCACCCCCTCCAGGCCGGTCAGTCTCCCTACTGTCCAGGCCCAGCTGTGACTATTCACCAACACCTTCACCCCTCAAGCCTGAAACCAGGGTCCCCAGTGAAACAGTAAGGGCAATATTCAAATCCCCCCTGCTGAAAGGAACCTCTACTGTTCTGTCTTCTCATCAGATCACAACAGAAGTGCAGAGGAAGAAACCTTCCGTGGCCTTCAAAAAGCCTGTCTTCACTCACCCTTTGCCCTCCTCAGAAACAGTGATTCAAACCAGATGCCCTGCTCATGCTCCTTCTAGCTCTTTTGCCGTGATGGCTCTGGGGCCTCCAAGGGTCTCTCCGAAGAGAGGTGTCCCCAAAACCTCTCCTCACCAAACACTTGGGACCACACAAATGGACACAGGGTTACGGACTCCCAAGAACTGTCCTTCAACCCATGAGCCACTGGAAATATCATCCTCCAAAAGCATATCTCCAGGAAGAAAAGGACAATTGAATGACAGCGTTTCCACACCCCCCATACCTCCCTTCTTAGGGGTAAATGAATCACCATCCTCTCAGGTTAACAGTCCTCCAGCATCATCACCACCCTGCAAAAGCCATAGCACCCCACATGGTTGTCAAAGCGCTCATGAGAAAGGACTGAAAACTCGTCTCCCGGTGGGACTCAGAGTTCTCATGAAGTCTCCTCAATTGCTCAGGAAAAGCTCCACGGTGCCAGGGAAACATGAAAAAGACAGTCTAAACGAAGCCTCCAAAAGTTCTGTTTCTGCAAGCAAGCCTAAGCCTGAGGATCCCAGGAATCCAGCAAGCCTGGCAACTTCAGGGTGTGAAAGAAATGGGACTCCACTAGTTTTACAAGTGCAGGACAGTTCAGCTGAAGGGTTCCCCCTGGAAATAGCACTGCCAGAGTCATTGGATAGCAGCATCCCCGGGGCTGATGGAAGAGATGGGGTAGAAAACAGATCTGTGAAAAGATCTCTTTCTTCCAGCAAGCCACACCTAAAGCCAGCTCTAGGCATGAATGGCGCCAAAGCTCGCAGCCAGAGCTTCAGCATTCACTCAGGAGATAAGCCCTCCACACCCCCCATGGAAGGGCCAGGCAAAGTCCGAACTCAGATCATTACCAACACTGCCGAGAGAGGCAATTCCCTTACCCGACAGAACTCCTCCTTGGAAAGCTCTCCCAACAAGGCCCCTTCTGCTCCCATGTCTGAGAGTCTCCCCAGCGCTGGGAGGCCCCTGGCACACCCCTCCTCCAGGCAAGGGTCCCTGGGAAGCTCAGGCAGCTCCAGCAGTCAGCACGGGAGCCCAAGCAAGTTGCCTTTGAGGATTCCTTTGAAGTCTGAAGGGCTCCTCACCCCACCTGGAAAGGAAAACCAGCAGATCTACACCCAGGGAGAATGCCCCAGTGTGGCTTTACCTGCAGAATCAGATAGTGAGTGTTGCAGGTGTCCACCGACCCCAACAGACTCCCCTCAAGCCCTGCAGAGCCCTGGGAGGATGCAGCATCCAAGCAGTTCTGAAACAAGCAGGATGTCCAAGCTAGAAACTTCTGGAAGGCATCCAGATGCCTCTACAACCGGGACTGGTGCTGCGAGCTCAGAAGCCCCCTTCTCACCCACAATCGAAGAAAAGGTCATGTTGTGCATTCAGGAAAATGTGGAAAAGGGCCAAGTGCAAACAAAGTCCACCTCTGTGGAAGCAAAGCAGAAGCCCGGGCCATCTTTTGCCAGCTGGTTTGGTTTTCGGAAGAGTAGACTTCCAGCTCTCAGTAGCAGGAAAATGGATGCCTCCAAAGCCAAAGTGGAAAAGAAGGATGCAAAAGTCTTGGGGTTTGGAAGCAAACCACTAAAATCTGAAAGAAAAAAAGAGAAAAAGAAGCCTGAACTACAGTGTGAGATAGAAAATGAGCTTATCAGGGACACCCAGTCAGCAGATATTCAAGATAGTGGTTTTCAAAGCAAAAATAATCGGAAAACAACACAAGACATTTATAACCAAATGAAGTGTGAACCGAGAAATAGACCTAGCCCTGTGACATGTTCAACAAAAGATACCTTTATGACGGAGCTTTTGAACAGGTAACATATTGGAAAAGCAGGTGGCAATGTAGAGGGGTCCCCTCAACTCCCTAAGGAGAATTGTTTGCTTCTTGCACATTAAATGCCAGTCAAGCATGTTTTTCATACAAGCAGAAATGCATAGTTGCAGTCTTTTATACATTAGCCAGAATTTAAACAATGAAATAAGAGTTAGCAATAAAATGATCATTTAGTCCATGTTACTTTGTTAACCAAACCAATGGTCTTTGAAATTAAAGAATGGTAAGTTTTATCAAGGTTGATAGAAATTCAACCTACACTAGGAGCCATGAATGTACCCACATGGCATGAAATGGAAGAAAATATCACATTCGTTGTAAAGCATGCTGATTTCATGGATTGTACCAAGCAAACATATACTTGGAAACTTTCCAGAAATGATTACATTTCCTGCTGATCTTAAACCAGAAATGTATTTAGCAATCTCTCTTCAGTGGCTTTTATTTTGCCCCTCCCCACAAGCAAAGATAAAAATAAAATAAATTATTATCAAATTTAAATTAACACACTGTGGGAACGTTTAAAGATCTGAGCAAGTTTAGTGAGAAACACTTATATTGCAGAGATTTTAAGACAAAGAGCTATGTGGAGGTTACTTTGAATACTTAAAGATTGAGAAAAGGAGAATGATTGAAGAGAAGCAATGTAATTTATCAGAGGAATCACTTTCTACCTGCAGAGTTGATAAGAAAGCATCTCAACAGACAGAGAGTGGATCAAATGATGTTTCCTGCAGGAATGTGTTAAAGGGAAGTTCCCAGGGCTCCTGTCTCACTGGCAGCTCCATCAACATTCAAGGAAACCACAAGAAGAGCGTCAAAACCAAAGCCGATATGGAAATACCGAAGGACTCCCTGGTAAGTGTTCCACCATCTTGGTTATCTAACCAAGTGTCACTTTCTGAGATATTCTGGCTGGGTTCTTTCTACCCTTTGCTGATGAAAATATATGAGTAAGAGATGATGAGGGGAAAGAAAACATCAATGAGAAAGTTTGTTGTTATTGTTGTTGTTTTTTAGGAGTGGGAGATCCTGGTGCCCACTGCAGCAGAGAGCTGGCAACTAGGCTTTAAGTGGGCCTGGCTCTTGAGGAGTGCTGTTCTTCCCAGCCCTGTTTGCAGCAGGGTGGTACAGTCGTAACACAGTGCAGGCAGACGATCCTGCCAGTGGCATCTTCAAATTATAAGTCCCCTATATACGACAGAGTTCCATTACAAGAGCTTGTTCATAAGTCTAATTTGTTTGTAAGTCCAACAAAGTTAGCCTAGGTATCCAACTCACACAATCAGCTATATAGTACTGTACTGTAATCGCTTTATAATACTTTTTACGCAAATAATATATAAAAACCAAATATATGGTACTGTAAACTACACAAAAGCACAACCACTTGTAGAGGATGCACACATGTGGCAATATATGCCAGACATGTGAACTAATTTATGTGATTGGATATGCAAATGTATGCTCACATCTTTGAAAGTTCACAACTTGAAGATTTGTATATAAGGAATCTGCTGTATACTCTTACGCTAGAAACTTGTTTTGATGGTTATTTCCAACATCACCAGCAAAAAAAAAAGAATGGGCATGAGGTTTTAAATAAAAATACTAAACAATTTAAGAGATGATGGACTATTTTGATGTTTTGATTTAAACGTTGTTCATTTTTTAATGAAAGTTGCATATACCAACTCATGCTACCTATTCAGAGGGTGTAAAAACTATAAAGTCCTTTTGGGGACTTGGCTCCCTATCATTTAACACATTAATAATGAAGTTCAGAACTCAGAGAGTAGACTTCTTGTAAAAGATAAAAAATAAATGAAAGGGTATTTTTATATTTCCCTAGGGTACACTAGTTTCAGGTAATATTTTTGTTTTAAAATTACCTTAAATTGCACTTACTCTCCTTACATTCTTTATGTACTTATGTAATTGATCTGAAAATGTTCATTGTTCCTTTTAGTAAGTTATAGAACACTTAAGTCAAAAAAAAAATCTCTCTATAGAATTACTATACCCATGTCTTCCTGTACTCTAATCAAGGGATTAGAAAACATGGTACATGCTATCATCTTCTTTGGGAAAACTTGAAACGTGAAGTAATTTTTTTTTTCTTTCTGGGATGGTTCAAGAGTGAAGGAGATTTTAAAAGTGATCCCAGTTGCTGTTATTAGTTATAATTATTTCTTGATATTGTGTTGCTTTAGAGTTTCAATGACATGCTTTAATTGGAGACAAAACCATATTTAAAATTTTGTATTCAATAGCTCTTGACTGCAGAGCTGTAAGTTCTTTTCAAACGCTCCCAAATTGTATGTAGAAGATGTTCATAGCAAAAGTTATTTTTTTTTTCTTTTTACCCCCATTTTTGCTCTTGGCTTCCATGGTATTATCATCCCTTCTTTGAGCGCATAGATGTCTCCTGCATTATAAAACCACAAATTATAAGCATATCTAAGACTGCCCTTGTAGTGTCACTGAGAGGAAAGAGAGAGAATGAACGTGTGGAAATGTGCAATATGCTGGAAATTCAATCCAGCTGATGGAAAACTTTGATAGCCTGGCAGAGCCCCTTATCAGAGGCACTCAATTTAACTATGCCCCATTTAATATGGCTCTGACAGCTTAGGGTATATCTTCACTGTACAGAAGTACAAAAAAAACAAAAAGACCCTGTGTTTGGCTTTACGATTTCATTTTTATTTTCGTATTACTTCCTAATGCTAAAGTTATTTTCCATGCTTTTCCTCTCTCATCTGCAGTCTTTCACAGGGTCCTTTAGTTCTTCCAGGATATCTGCAAGAAACACTCTTATTATTTTCTGTGAAGTACAAAGATTCCCTAATCACCCCAAATATACATAATCAATAGGGATATGCTAATTTTTTCTAGTTAGCTGCAAGACGAATTAGTCATGCTGAGAAGCTTTTCCATACAGAGGAGTATTATTAACCTGGATAGTTGGCCAGCTAGTCACTTTTTTTCATGTAAAATGCAGTTTTTTTGTTTCATCTCCATAATCGTCAGTGTGGATTGGGCTAAAATTACTAATTTTAGAAGAGATATTGCTGTAAACTCCTTTGGGACTAGTACATGAATAGGAGTGAAAACTCATTTATTACATGCTATCAGCCTATATAGGAAGGAGATTAGATGGATGCAAAATAAGATGTATTTTAATACCATTGCACATTGATGTGAATACCCATGAACCTTATAAAATTCACAGTTTAAGGGACCTTTTCCCTCACTAAGGCTCACGGTTAATTTTCTATCTGCTTATATTAAAGTGCATCGCAAATAATTTTTTTTCATAATAGGTATTTTGGATGAAAACAATAGCTATATGTAATGTATGACACATCACACCTTTTTCCTGAATAAAACCACTGTTCAAAAACCTTATGACATAATATACCATCCTTTGTTCTTCACACACTAATATTATATGCAGTTATGAGAGTCCTAAGGCATTTTAATTATTTTAATCTATAGTGATAATAGGCAGATTATTTCCATACATATAACAAGTCCACGTATGTAGCTCCAACTAGTTCATTAGTAGCTGCATATTCGTTTTGAGTACTGTTAGAAACATTCTGAAATATGTTTAAAAGTCCCATTAATGCTTTGCTGAATTAAATCTTTTTCTTATTTCAGAGCCTTAATTAGAGGCTTATATCCCCATTTCTGCCATCATTTACAGACCACTTAGCTCTAATTTTTGTGTAATTTAGACAAGGGCCATGTTACTTTATAGTTTAAATTATATCAAATCATTGTAAGAGGGGGAAAGGCATCTTCTAGAAAAGCTGCATTGGTATTAAGTCAGTAAGTCAGAAAGAGGTGCCCTGTTTGCTACACATTGTAAGTTCTTCCTTCCTGTAGACCTAGATAATTTTCTGAAATGAGAAGTCTTAAAGACAGCTCCAGGCTCCTATTTAACTATCATGGGACACAAATAAAAATCATTAACAAAATTAACGAGACCATATACCTTCATCATGCATTGGAAAGAGATGACCATTTTAATATGGGTATTTTAATTTAAATTATGGGTATTCTCCTCACCCAGTGTCACATTGTATAAAAAAAAAATCCCACATCTGCTAATAAAAAAAGCATCAAATGCTATCCCATTAAAATGGTACTGTGGTGATGAAATAGCAGAAAAGAGTACAATAATTACACAAATTGTTATCATCTTATTAAGTTCTGCAAAATGTTATAATTTTAACATCCTTACTTGAATGATTCTGTCCTAAATGATATTTTGATGCTAATAAGAAGCATGCATATTTTGCCCTCCTTCTGCAAAGTTTTCTAAATGACTAACTTTTCCAAAGGTTATGCCTTCCAGGAGCTTTCCCTCCGGGGTCATTTCCCATCTCACTTAGATTCATTATGTTCTTTTCCTTTTAAATGAGCACTGACATCAAAAAATGTTGTTTTCCTGGGTGGCCATTAGTGGTAGGGCGACTCAGAGAAGAAATAGGTGCAGAATTTTAAATGAAGGGTGTTCCTGAGTATTGGGTTTAATTGTGAAATTATATGTTTATATATGGATCAGTGGTGAATTATTTTCTCCCTTTTTCCTTCTATGTCTTTTGTAAGCTTATTTCTTCCTGCCCTTCCCAGCAGTCGGAACTAATGGAATTCGACACCCGTAGTGATGTTTAATAGCTGTCTGGTATAGACTAGTATTGGGAGCAGTTCTTGTCTACCTATAACAGCAGAACCCCAAGAGAAGGACAAGAGTTAGAGACGTGCCATTAAAAGACACCCAAAAAGTTTTCACAGCACATGTAAACCAAAAACAACCCCCAGTTGTGTTTTGTGAGTCACCGTCTACTTTTTACCCAATGGAACATTACTGACATTGACTTGTCTGTTCCTGGGATAGCAATGGCTGAGACGTTTCTAAACTTCTAACCACAAGTCTTTTCAGAGCCAAACACCTGCTGCCCTTTGCGATTCTGTGGCCACTCCTGTTCTCTGCAGTGCCTTTCCACATAAGATTGTCCCACCTGTGTGGTCTTTGGCAGATTCCTCACCTCGAGCTGACAGCCCCTTAACCCCCAGGAAGGTATCCACAACTTCCCACTGACACACAACTGCTATGTGATCAAGAATGAAGATTAATTTAAATCTCATCCTATGAAAAATATAATTAGCAAGGGGAATCTGCTGCCAAAATAAATTATGTCCCTCATTTCCATAGGCAAATGGATTTTTTTTTAATTACTCACCACTTTGAGCTGAAATCTATTTGTATGGATAATTAGAGCTGACGAGTGTGTCATTCTAAAGCACTCCCCCATTTTCTATTTTCTTGCAGCTTCATCCATCCCCTTCAAGTTTGACATTTCACCCCATGGGTCATTTCCCCCACGTGGGTCATCCAGCCCAGGAGAGCTGAATGAACTAGGGGCCTTGTCTGCAAGCCCAGGTCCTCTGATAAACCCCCAGAGGACACATTTTCAGTTGAGCACAGAAAGCCCCAGAAATGTTCTAACAAGGATCTCACCGGCAGGACTACAGGATAGTTTTTGTATTCTTTCTTTACAGATCACACTTGCAGAAAGGTAGTGATGAAGGGTCGCAGAAGGGTTAGGGAACAGCAGGAAAGGGAAGCAGAGTGGTTACAACACATACACACTGAAAATGTTTGCTATCCTTAAAATATGATTTATGAATAATATTTGGAATATTGACTTTGTATTTAACTGCCAGACACTAAGAAAGATGGTGTAGTTCTTTGGAAGGTCTGGGAAGTCTAGCTGTAATAATACGGGACTCAGAAAAATTGAATTACACAATGAATAGGGGTCAGAAGTACCTATTTTAAAACTGAAATCCTGTGTGACTTTGAGCAGATAACTGGCCCTCTCTGAGCCTCTTTTCCTTTATCTGTAAGATGAGAGTCTTTTTCTAATTATTTGATTCTTTAGAATTTCACGGGGCTGACAGAGATGATAATTCACTCAAATTTCAAAAGGCTTCGAGGGCACTCCTGCAAGTTTAAAAGGTACAAATTTAGAGGGACTCAAAGGAAATACTATTTTACATGGACAACTAGGGAGGAATATGGGACACATCACCATAAAAGCTGATATGAACTGAAAAAATAAGTCGATTTCTTTGATGTTTCTATAGGGGAGGATAGAAGGATTCCAGTGGATTTTTAATGGAAATTAAGGTGTTTGAGGGATCCCTTCCTCAGTGGGTCTTTGAGTCACCTTGTCACAAACAGATCTCCAAGCTAAGTGAACCTTGGAAGGCAAATAGATAGTATGTTAGCCTGACTCATGCTTGTGGTGCCCTCTCCGTCCTCTGTGAATAGAGACTGCTAGAAACAGAGACAGTTAATGAAGCTTTTTTTCTTCTTTCTTTCATCCCCTAACTTTCTCTCTGTGCAGGTGCTAATCAACAGGGAAATGCCTACAATGCTTACGGAGCAGACAGCTGAAGGGGAAGGAGTGACGAAGCATGGCTTCTGCGTGCCAACCCCTCAGCAATCTCTCCTTGCGAGGCTTGAGCTGGCCATCTGCATACTCTTTTAAGTTTGCCATCTTCTGGCTGTCAGGGTGGTACAGATTAAGCACCAATTACATTCTAATATTGGAACTGCAGTCATAAAATGTAAATAATTGGTCTTATTCCATTAAGTGTGAAAAATAGGAGGTAAAAAGTAGAAAGCTAAATCCAGCTCAAGGTCAGTATGCAACCATATGCCTTTCTACATTGCAGGTCTAAAATAATGATTTCTTGGCATTCAACCCAAGCCCTTGAGTAAATCTACTGACAACCTCTAATGTATGTTCCTAAGCAGGACCCCCACTGCATTGCATGGTTCACATTATTAGGATGGGCTGCTCGGGTAACTGGCTGGAATGTATTTTAAAAGAGCTATTTAGGGTCATTTCCCCAAAGGACCCTAAACAGTCTTGATGTTGAGGCTGAGTTTAGACAAGCATAAGTCAAGTGGAAATTTGGGAATAACAAAGTTCCCCCAAATGAGCCCAAATCTGGAGTCAGACTTGCTGTGTTTAAATCCCAGCTCTCCCTGCACTTTGGGAGGCCAAGGTGAGAGCATTGCTTGAGCCCAAGGGTTTGAGAACAGCCTGGACAATATGACGAGACCTCATCTTTACAATAAATAAAAAAAAATAGCTGGGCATGGTGGTACATGCGTGTAGTTCCAGCTACTTGGAAGACTGAGATGGAAGGATCGCCTGAGTCCAGCAGGTCAAGGTTATGGTGGCCAGGAGCAAGTTATTGCCCTCCAGCCTGGGTGACAGAGTGAGACTCCAACTCAAAAATAATAATAAAAAAATAAACCCCAGCTCCATCACTTAGGTCTTCATTGCTAAAACAGAGCTAACAATAGTACCTGCTTTATAGCGTTGTTGTAAGCATTATGTGATCTTATGGGTAAACAGCACCTGCTGCATAGTGTGTGCCGTTTTTGTTGTGGTTGGTGTTGTTGATGATGTTGTTACTACTGCTGCTACTGGATTGGGAAGTCAGAACTTCCGGGTTTTCATGTCAGGTTTGTCACTTACTATATGTACACTCACTTTAAGGAAACTTCTTGGACCTTAGAGTTTGCCTCTGTAAAACACTGTGACTTCTTCAGAGACTCTATAGAGTTCCCTTTGGTGATACCATCAAGCACCTGGGTATTCCAGCTGAAATATTAGGGAGAATGTTTCTGACCTGAAAAATCTCAATAAGTGTCTCACTGCTCTAGTTCACGATCATACATCATGGTCACCTTCTGTCATTATGAAAAAAAGAATCATTTTATTATTCATATTCCGGGAAAGAGTCAGGAGCTCTAAGTATATGTTAAGTATATTTCTTTATTCTTATTAAAATAACTTGTGGTGGAAGTCACTGGCTCTGGAGGAATTATACCTCCTTAGACGTTAATTTTTCCTAACAGCCCTATGTTACTGACTTTATTAAGTATTAAAAATCCAAGCTGTTATCTCTAAAATCTTGCATAGAATTAGGTACCCTGTAAATCATCTCTTTTAGAGCTGGGGTTATATTTCTTAAAATATGCTCTTATAATTAAAACTTGTAATAAAGCCAAATGATGGAGTGAGGGAAGTGGAATAAAAAATATATGTGTCTGTGTATAAATACACACAGCCACACATGCATACACACACACATATGCCCACACATTTATTAGAGAATGTATAAGTATTTTGAAGATTGCAAAAGATTTATTTAATATAATAAATAAGAACTTCTACCTTTTTCTTATTGTTACAGATAAAAGAGGCAAATGAAAACTTGCAAGAGGATGAAGAAGATACAGTTGCAGATTCTGCATTTCAGAGCCATATCATAGGTAAAAATGCATGTCTTCATATCACTTTCACTAAGACATTTCTACATGTGAGCTTCTTTCAGACACAGCATGTTCCTAGGGATCATGTCTCATGCTTTTCTCTGTCAGGACTGTGTCCTGAACTGCTCACACGTGGTTCCCTTTACCTTCTTAGACATTCTTACCATAAAATAAGTGGGTCATGAAGAAAGCATGAGTGTTTGCAAAGGAATTCAGTGCAAATTGATGAAAAGTGAGTCCTTGTCCATATAAAATGAAAATGATTCTGAACATAAATAATTTGCCTCTCAGGAGAAAAATTAACTTTAAGTCAATCCAGTTTCTATAATGGTATCAAGAAGCACCTCATGCAAATACCTACTGGTAAGGAATGTGGGGTGGTAGCTTTCTTAAATGGAATATTTTAAAATTTTAGTATGTTTTATGCATAGGACCAAATGGGATAAGAAAATATGGCTTGCCAAAATCTTCAACTCATTTTCTTCGTCATTTCAGTTAGAAATCTGAGTACTGATAGTCCCGTCTCTGAAATAAGCTCAGCTTATCAGCTACTTCTTAGAGTTGTGCATAATACCAGACTGAAGGAACTCACGTTCCCAACACAAAGGGACTTTGCTGACCTGTTTTTAGCAGGTGAGATGGAGGAGTTGTGTTTGACTGCGACCTTTGTCAGAAAATAGAAGAGGTGATACTTTTAACAGTTCCAGGTCACCTTGGACACCTGAAGAACTGGTTGTTCTTTGGGCTCTGAATGTGAACATGCTGATAATTTAGCTTTCCACAAGACACGAAGGCATGGTGGCATCTTTTCTCCAAATCACATTTGGTTGTGGGAGATAGTATTGAATACCATGTTCCAGTCCTACGGATTGCTGGTGTCTGGTTTAATCAGTATCCATTACTCTTGTGTTTTCACTTGGAATGTCTTTAGCTGTCAACTCTCAGTATCCCACAACTCTTAGCGTCATGTTAGTATACTTGGCAACTGATTTTTCAGTGTATTCAGCAGTCTTCTGCAAACCACAATTTACATTTTGTCTCAGAGAGTAGTTGTACCCCACAGTTTAATGAGACTGGCACACCATTATTATTTTTTTCATTTGTAATTGGGAATACAGAAGTCTCAACAAACAGCTGAATGAGTATAGTCCGAATAAGATTATTATTCCAAGAAGACATCCTTTATTATAGTTGTCAATGTAAAATGCTTAAATTGGTATCAGTTCTGCGCTGTTAGCTAATATTCAAGTTAAATATTGTTTAACAGCCTTCAAACATGACACTGTGTAAAGCCCTGCTGACTCATCATTTTTCTATAATGAGATGTTCTTAGGCCTATAAAATCACATATATAAAGTCAGAAGCTAAATTTTTAAAGAGAACTATAGGAATCTAAATTTTTTTGAATAGACTAGCTGTTCTTTAGATCTGTACTGTTCGATGTGATAGCAACTCACCACATGTCAACTTACACTCACCACATGTCAATTTAAATGAATGAGGGCAACATAAAATTAAAAATGTACCTCCTCTATCACACTAGCCACATTTTGAGTGTTCAGTGGCCCCATATTTTGTGCAGGAATGTATCACTTAATGACAGGGATACGTTCTGAGAATACATCATTTAAAAATGTTGTCATTGTGCAAACATCATAAAGTGTGCTTGCACAAACCTAGACATCTAGCCCACTACACACCTAGACTATATGGTACAACCTATTGCTCCTAGGCTAGGAACATATATAGCATGTTACTGTATGAATACTGTAGGCAATTGTAACACAGTAGTAAAAAAATATGTATCTAAATATATCCAAACAGAAAAGATATGGTAAAAAATACAGTGTCAAATATTTTTGTTAAAGTGCACCTGTATAGGGTACTTATCATGAACAGAGCTTGCAGGACTTGAAGTTGATCTGGTGAGTCAGTGAGTGAGTGGTAAATGAAGGTGATGGCCAAGGGCATGACTGTATATGACTGTAGATCTTAGAAACACTGGACACTTAAGCTACACTAAATTTATTTTTTAAATTATTCTTTCTTCAATAATAAAATAACTTTACCTTACTGAAACTTTTTTACTATATAAACTTGTAAATTTTTTAAATCTTTGAACTCTTTTGTAATAACAGCTTAAAACAAACATGTTATACAGCTGTACACAATTCTATTTTTTTGTTATATCCATTCTGCAAGCTTTCTTCTATTTACTTCTTTTAAACTTTTTTTAACTTTTTTGTTAAAAATGAAGACACAAACACATCAGCCTGGGCCCCCACAGAGTCAGGATCATCAATATCACTGTCTTCCACCTCCATATCTTGTCCCACCAGAAGGTTTTCCGAGGCAGTAACACGCATGGAGCTGCCATCTCCTACGATAACATTGCTTTCTTCTGGAATTCCTCTTGAAGAGCCACCCTGAAGCTGGTTTACAGTTAACTTTTTTTTCCCTATAAGTAGAAGGAGTACTCTAAAATAATGATTAAAAAGTATAGTATAATAAACTTATAAACCAGTAACATAGTCATTTATTATCAAATATTATATATTGTGCTATACTTTTATACAACGTGTGAGACAGGAGGTTTGTTTACACCTGCATCTCCACGAAAACATGACTAAAACGTCACTAGGCAGTAAGAATTTTCAGCTCGATTATAATCTTATGGGGTCACTGTTGTATATGGGGTTCATCGTTGACTGACACATTATTGTGTGGCACATGACTGTATATTCTATGTCATATGTAGATGATATACATTTCTTCGTCACACAAACATATATTCTACATGAATATTTCCTTCACTATTCTAGTGGACAGTGCTGCTTTACATTACTCTAGTGGAAGTGAATTTGGACCATATTTCTGACAGAGAATTGACTTGGTGTTCAGATCATTGTACACTTACCTCTTCAGAGTGGCAGAATACTATATGAATAAGCTACTATTGACCACAAGTAAACAAACAAACAGAAAACCTGACAAGTCATTACATAAATAAAAAAGTCATTGAATCATCTTGTAAAATTAAAAGTCTGGAGGAAGGCAAACATGAAAAGGTGTGTAGAAACTCAACATTATCAAAAGCCCTGACTCTTTTCATCTATTATGATTACCTTGTTGGCTTTTGGTCCCCTCCTGTTTGTTGCCTGTGGTTGCAAATTGATTCCCGCCATGCTAGGCATCCCATTTGAGACAAAAATATAAAGAAGAGGAAAAGCTCTTCCAGAATCCTCTTTCCCATATATTTAAGTGTTGTTGGGTGAGAAAAGAATCATACAGCTAATTCTAGTTGCAGAGGATACTGGGAAGTAAGTATGTCACTTCTCAGCCTCTGTTGCTTGACATCACAGGGAGAAGTGGGTTGAGAATGTCTCTGCCTAGCCAGTCAATGGGATCACCACAGCCTTTTTTTAAAAAGCACCTTTTTTAAGACTGAATGAGCCTCAATAAAGTCAAGGGGTTAGTTATCTTAATTTCACAAGAATGGCTAAGAATTTTTTTTTCTCCTGATAATACCAATGTTCCTTACTTTATCTGACCTGAGTGTTGTCACATATTCTTGACAATATTTTATAACTATATTTCCAGTAACAGCAACTGTGCAAATCTAAATATTATTTATCTAAGTCTAAATAAATCTAAATATGTTCTTCTTCCAACCAGTATCAGCTGCTGTGTTGCGTATAAAAGAAAATCTGAACATTTGCATTTCTGTGGTTAGGGGCAATCATATTTAGTTTAACCCAAATGTTATGAGTTGATATAACAAGACAAGATATTGTTAACTAACCCTGCTCGGTATTGAAATTCACGATTCATGATTAAGTAAAATAATGCAACTAGATTTTTTTCTTTAAAATTGACCTAATAAATGTCAGACTTCCATGTGAATAACCAAAGCAAATGACTAGCCTAGCCTAACAGAAGTATTAACACAAAGATCACACTACCCTATTTCTACTTATTTTTTCCTGCTATTTAACTATAATACATTTGCCCTCTGTATTATGCTAATTGTCTACTAAGGTTAAATGATTAGTAGAAATTCAAATACTATTCATTGTCTTGCATCAAAAACACCAGCTGTGATAATCAAAAATAATCCCCTAAGTGCCTAAATGGAGACAAGGGATTTGGAAATTCTTATAAAGAGGGGAGTGTCTTTTGAGGAAATTGAGGAAAAAAACTATTAAAACAGAATCTAGTAGTAGTCACTACTTGAGGCCAGTACTATTCACAAAAACAAAGATATACAGTAGGCATTTGTGAAGTGAAAGACACATGAAATTTTCCCTCAACCTAAAAGAGTTACAAATATTACAGTAATCTGCCCAATGGTCTGATGGGCAAATGCCCTAGTGTCCCATGGTTGAATGTATCTATCTGGGTATACTCCTAATCTCTTCTACAGGATATTAGTGCCCATCACCAGAGTAGAGCATGAGAAGGGATATGGTCCAGCCTTGATGATCTAGCTTTCTTTGGACACTTTTGTGAAATCGCCTTGGTGCTGTCCTCCCTATCCTAGGAACCAATATGACCTCCAAGGGAACATATCACCCCTATTGTCCTTCTTCCAATTCTCCCAGAGTAGGCTGTCCTATTAGCAGCTAATGTATCATGCAGGAGGAAAATACTTTTGGGGAGCTTAACACCATAAACCAGTGTATTTCCTTTTCCTCGGGGCATTTTATTTCCTAATTTCTTACCCTCTTCTAGAGTTTAGCTAATATGATAAACTAACTTATGTTTGCATAGTAATAGATTAAACAGGTGCCTTTTTAGGGTACATATTTGTATTGTAACAAGGCCTCAGGTAAAGTTTTACCTTAGTTGAAAGAAACTGTTGGAGCCTATAATCCTCGTACTTTGAGAGGCTGAGGTGGGAGGATTGCTCACTTGAAGCCAGGTGTTTGAGACCAGCCTAGGCAGCAAAGCAAGATTCTGTCTCTATAAAAAATTAACCAAGTATGGTGGCACACACCTGT